ACAAATACTATATTTTTACCTCTTCTGAATCAGAATCATCAAAACCAGGGAAATTTGAATTCCTGAAACTATGTTCGAACACGATGTCTGATGAATCTGAATGGGGCCTGTAAGAAATTAAACAAAAAACATAGCAAAAACATAACATATTATTTTCGCTTGGAATTAATTTTTGTTATTTTCAATGAGTAACGATGAATGATCTTTTCTTCGTATAGCAAAAATGAGTATGAAAGTCCTGAAACAATGCAATGAACTTATTTAATATTCATGTTCCTCAACTAATACTACATGTACTGTATTAATCTCAATGTTCCTTGTAAAATAATATAACATAAATTGTATAAAAGCACCCAAATAATATATACATGTATTGTCTTTATCAACAGTGTAAATGTTGTCATTCTGTCCACTCTTACATCTAACAAATGTTTTATTTCAGTCAAATTTTACTCCAAATCTTGAAAATTGCGCTTGATAGTTACATCAAAGTTAATTAACATTTCATAGCGAGAAGCACGATTGGACAGTACTAAATAGCAAAGCTACAATAACACATCTCACCTACAGTATTTACGGTATTTGTGAATTCACAAGATTACAACGTGTTACATAAATAAGTTATGCAGACAATTTTGCAATGTCACATGAGCAGATGTTATCAACTTACAGAAACGATGTACCAAAAACATCTTCCTCATCACTAGACGATTCACTACTCTCTTCCTGCATTCTTCTCGATACCTCAAAAGACATACTCCATTCTATGGACTCATCAACAGCTGGTTGTCAAGGAAATATGATTAATTCATAGTTATCCTATCTATCTATCCAAATCTACAGTTATGTTTTTTTAATTTCTATTGAGAAATTTCAATATGTAATTTTAATACCAAACTATGATTTTCATTATGACTCTACATACATGTATGTTGTCCACAAAACTCTTCCAGCTACTAGGGACATGTACCAGATTCTGTCGTAAATTCACCCATCCAAAAAAATCGCCCTGGACGATTTCACGGCTGGTGGCGCTTATTTAGGGTTCAAAATTTCAGAAAAATACCGTCAAATATTTTGGGGGACTTCTATTTTCATTGAAAAATCCAACTATGCCGACTTCAACGCCGACAGTTGGGCCACCCAAGACGAAAGAAACTATTGCAGAAGCTAATCTAAAATTTGATACATTTTTTTCTTGCTGAATTAAAAAGTAGACCACCTAAAATTTCATTACAATGTCATCCAGAGTCATGTTTCTCCAAAAAATCATATTAACACAAAAGTATATTCTAAACGAAGTTTCAAATAAAAACGAACAACTGCATTGCATTGCATCAAATCACTGTTGCGCAATCCAGTCATGCTGCGTTTCATAATTGTTGATTGTTATTCAGTAGTGATTATAATAACGTACTAAAAATAAATTTGTTCAATTGTTATGAAATGCAAATAAAATTCAACTTAGTTTCATGGTAAGCAAATGATTCCGGTCGCATATAAACGCTCAATGCTCTCGCATGAGTTGACCAAATAGGTCAAATCTCTATTACCAATCAAAATGCTAGATGATGCCAATGTGTTAAAATTACCATATAAATATGTTAAACATGTTAATGTTATTGAACACAACGCGGAAGAGATTTGCCAATGTTGTAGTACGATCTTTTGGATTGGATTTTGATGGGAAAACAGTTGTAAATATAGTTGTAAAAAATAGTTGTTTTCAAAAGATAAACAGAGCATTAGAAGAATAATTTAACATTGTTTATAGTGATAACAGCTCATTGTCAAAATTAAGCTTACCCATTCACGCTAGTCGCACACTCTTGAATAAAATTAAAAACTTAAATAAACAGACTCTATTTTAGGTGTCAGGAAAGATTGAAATGTCCGAAAAATGACACCAAAATATTTAAAAAACAACTTTAAAAACAAGATTTATTGGTCCCATTTTATCTTTATTTTTAGACCCAAACTGCCGTTTAACGGCCCAGGGTGAATTTATGGCAGAATCGAGTAAATGTATAGTAAACAAATAGTCAAACAAAATGTTTTTTATCATATTAAATCCATCATTAATGTCTAAATAACAAACTTCAATGAGAAAAACAAACCTTGTGGTGCAAACTTCTCAATATTATCAGAAAAACTGAGACCTCTGCGTAAATTAGGTTTCATAAAACTGTTAGACTCTGGATCCGTTGATGTTTTCGACTCACTGTCTGTTTCTTGGGATGCAGAATTCTCACAAACTTCAATCCAAGAATTGTAATATCTATCGGTAAATGATAAAAACAATCCATATCCATGTACAGCCCAAGATATATTCATACATGTCCTTATTATATACTCTACTGAAAACTGTCTGCTGCTAGCAATGATCATGATTTCACAAGATTAATGTATCCCTGATTTTCATATATTATTTTCATCTTATTTACTGTACAATGATACCCTGTATTTGCTCTATTACTAGTTCTAGAGAACTCATTCTATACACATCAATCAAACATATTTCTAACCAATAGCATCAACAAACACGCTGGTTGCTTTGAAATGTTTGATTGCATAAACTAACAAGCAGCCTATCGGCTGAGATAGCTCCGCTGTTAGCAATGCACATTTCAATTAAAGAACTGAAGACATCATTAGAAAATGAACAATATGAATAGTGTCAAAGCAATTGGACTTACAGTTTTTAACAAGAAGTCGAAAATATCACTTTTTACCAAAAATTACAAAAATATTCACCAAAATAAATTAATTAGAGAATTGAAGATATCATCACAAAATGAACAAATCTGAGAGAGGTCTACATGTAGTACCTATATATGTAATATCAAAGCAATCGGACTTACAGTTTTCAACAAGAAGTCGAAAATATCACTTTTTACCAAAAATTACAAAAATATTCACCAAAATTAGAGAATTGAAGATATCATCACAAAATGAACAAATCTGAAAGAGGTCCACATGTAGTACCTATATATGTAATATCAAAGCAATCGAACTTGCGGTTATTAACAAGAAGTCAAAAATATCACTTTTTACCAAAAATGACAAAAATATTCACCAAAATTAGAAAATTGAAGATATCAACATGAAATGAACAAACCTAAGAGAGGTCTACCCAAGGTACATATACACCAAGTATCAAAGCATTCAGGCTTGTAGTTTTCAAGAAGAAGTCGAAAAAGTAAAACATTGACACGGACGACGACAAAGACGGACAATCACTCATATGATAAGCTCCGCTCGACAAAGTCGACAGCGGAGCTACATGTAAAAAGAGTAAGATTATAACCACATTATAAAACGCTAAATGCATGCATTACACGCTTTGTGAATACGCAAGTAACCTAGAGCCCAAATGATTTAAACACGAACCAGTTATTATTTTGTAATGTAGATTTCAATTGTGCGGTCATGTGTGATCCTCATCACATATCACACTCACACATACTCTTATAGTACACATTATGTACAAGCAATGTCAGATGGTCACATAAGCTAGACAAATATCAGTATAATACAAGTAAAGTAAAATACCTGACAACATTTTCATGATTTAATCTTGATAATAATTTGACTTCCCTTGTAATCTTCTTGTTAAATTCTTTACTTTTGGGATTGAGTGGTATCCGTTTAATTGCATAAAAACAACCATCAAGTTTGTTTTGCACCTTTGAAGAAAATATTTGTAACCATGGCTTGAAATTAACAAAATTTATTATGGGCTTCCAGTTTTAAAAGTTGGTAGTATCAGGGTAATATAGGGTAGCTTCTGTAGCTACTCACAGCGGTTCTGAAAATTATTTGGACAGTCAGTCAGCAAGACTTGCAAGTTTGCAAAACATTGGTTTTTGTCTAGTCCAGACTTGATGGCACTATTCCATCAACACACTCAAAATTTAGAGCATAGTTATTGAATACACATAGAAAGTGTTTTGTAAAGTTGCAAGCCATCTTGCTAAATAACTTTCCGAATAATTCTCAGCACCAGCAAGGAAGTGTTAACACAAATAAATAAATGTCACATGCCTTGGGCTACTATCCTCCAACTTTGATACCCGTTAGTAGCAGTATTACAGCATGGTAATCAGAAAAATAGCTTTCTTACCTTAATAACATCACCAAACCCTCCTTTGCCAAGCCATTTAAGTTCTTCAAATTCACTGTATAACCTTGATTTGGAAACATCAATTGGTTTAGGGGTAGCAAAATGACTTTCAAACGGAGACTCGTCGGGTGTTCCTTCATTGACTACTGAACAACAACAAACCAAAATATGGGTAACAGACAGTGTGTGCTGTAATGCTGTATTATTGGATATGATTTGTTATGAAGCCTATGAAGTACTATGTGCCATATACCAAATGAAACAAGTGCACTATTCACAAAATTTCTTGGTCAGAACCTTTTTGAAAAGAGCTAACAATTTTGCTGTGATTGAGATTTCATTATCTTCATCAAGTCCATCATAGCACATGCAGGATATCCTGACTAATGATTGGTTTGCAACGAGAACCAACCTCTTATGTTTCACTGCACCAGCTAAATTATTATCAGATTTACCGGGTATATCACATGTCACTGCATCCAAGCAAACTTTGAACATAAAACACTTTGTACTTCCTAGGCTAGTTGTGTTCTGAAGCAGGATATGAAACACAGCACATAACAGAATTTTAAGCTTGTCTTTTGCCATATTTTCATTCATTATCTTGGTTTGGTATATACATAATGGGCCTCATGGAGATATATTATTTATCAGAATGAACACGTGATGATTAATGATTATTCATACTGGAACCATACATTTACATTGCTAACATTGTTGGAGTATCATTCCACTCTTAACATGTGATTCAATGTTCAAGCCGTTTGTTTATTCCTGAAAATCCAAATTTGTCTCCTCATTATTAAGGTGACATTTACATTGTGTGCATTCATGAAGTAAACACAACTCTAATGTAATTTCTCACTTTACCATGATGTCTTTAGTTTAGATAAAACTACCCATAAATTAGACAACAGATAAAAGGATGGATTATAATATTGGAGTCCATTCTGGATTAAGAATAAACCCTACACCAGCATATTGTTATTACCTAGGAACTAATTTTCAGTTCCATCAAGTGATAAACATGACATAAACAAACCTGTACTGGGGTTATGTAAAGCGCCATAGTCATTACCAAAGCCACCATTATTCATATTATCAATAGAAGGACAAATAAATGCATGTCTGAGTAGCTGTTGTGGAGATAATCTTACTCTGTCATCTGTAGTAAGACATCTGCAATGACAATTGCACATGTGTCATTATAATCTGTGTTCTTTCTATATGTGTAAACAAAGTTTATGAAACAAGCCACAACAATAATGTAGACAGACGTTTTAGTTTTCCAGCTCAAAAACTTGTGTTTTTTAAGGGATGGGCGCTTAGTCGAGCACTTAAACTTAAATATTTAAATGACAATTTGCGTTTCCAATGTGCCGGACAAAGGGGACTATTGCAAAATAAGGGTGTCATCATTGATTTACCTTTACAATAAAGAAATAGAAACTTTCATAAAAAATATGACCATTTTATTACAAATGATATTGACATACCCATTTACAGAATTTGAAGGGTAAAAATGATTAGTGTCTGTGGGAAAATAGATAAAGTCTGCAGCTTCATCATTATCTTCATTTACAGTTCCCTTATCAAATAGAGGGGCTCGTCTTAACTGTTGAAAGTTTTTGATTGTACGCAAACTCTTGATACAAAGCATGATAGACCTACAATGACCCCTGACCTGACAGGTCAAATATGTTATTAACCAATCAATGTGTCAAACTGATGCAACTTTATTAATAATGAATACTGACGACATTTTTTACAACAGAAAGCTAAAATTTATTACCAATAAATACGACAACAAAAACGGTTAGATTGTTTTGTTTAAAACGTGTGATTCACAATTTTTGGAAGGTAAACTGAGTGTAGAAGGAGTATTTAACACCTTTCACGACCATCAACAGTTCACATCATTTCGTAGTTTACCCGTTCACTCCCCATGCCATAGTCGATAGTCACAATGGACATTTTAATTACTTGGAAAAGTAAAATACCGGTTATGTCAATGACCAGGTTTCATTATTTGATAGTGTAATTTCGAACATTTCAGAGGAAGTGGGTACTCAGTAACTTAAAAGCTAAAAACCCCAGAAATTGGGGGATGGACACTCAATTGAGCATAGGCACAAGTCGGACGAGTATGGCATGTGTGGATGCTTCCACAGAAATTCATCACATGTGTGGATGATTCTACAGAAATTCAACACTTTTCAAATAAATTTGCTTTTATGAAAATTGATATAGGTGCCTGCACAAATCAGGAGAAACCTGTGCAAACTTCTCTATTTATTGAACTTAAAATACATTTGGATTTCAGAGATTTATTATTTCAAAATAATTGAATGCAGGTTGAACAGTGGAATAGCTATTGGAAAATAGCACTTTGGTTGAGGTTGTATTGTTAGAAGAAATTGTTAAGAAAGTGGATTGTAATTTTCACTATTCATGAGATATCAGACTGCTTCAACTAGCAGGATAAGAAATAAGAAGAAAACCTAATTCGAGATTTTATCTGGAAATTTTGCATCAACCACTTATACTTGTATGTTATTAGAAACTTACTTTGTAAGAAAATCTTGAAAATCAGGAGGATAATTGTGAGGTATTTCTACTGGGTACTCTGTAATGTAATCTCCATGTAACAACGAAAGCAGCAACATACCCTGAGTAAAAAAAAATAAACAAACTAAACTAAATATAAAAATATAAATATAAAACACTGCTACATCAGTGGCAGAATGCAATGATGAATTTGCATGTTCATAACAATGTTTCAATATTCAAGTCAACAAATTAAGCTACATAGTTAATACTTACAAACTTTAAAATATCTCCTTTTTTACCACCTTTTGCAACAATTTTGTCATCACTAAAATGAACACCTTGCTTAGTGGCATTACTGCTGTGGCACAAGTCACTTATTCTAAAAGACAAAAATTTTATTTTTCTTGAAAATAAATATTCCAATGATGATAATTTTAATAATGCATGTCTTGGCACTCTTCACTATTCATGGTACATGATCACATTTGACATAAATAGTATTATCTTATAGTATGGTAAATGCAATGGCATTCATGTTACATGTCATAATTTTATGGGTGTTCAAACAGTATACAAACCAATTTTTATCACAATGATACATTAATGATAATTTCAGACCTTAGATGAGGTAATGATGTTTATTGATTGTTTATTATTTTTAAATACAGACTCAATGATTGAATAATTAAGTTGCTCCTACCTTTTTCCTATACTATAATCTGCAATTCTAAGATGACCTTCTGAATCGATAAAAATACTGGAAGCTTTTAAATCTTTATGAACCACTCCTTTACTATGTAAATATTGCAGGGATTCTAGTATATCAATGGCATAGTGTCGAAGTGACTCCAGCTGAACTGGAGTACCATTATCTATAAAGGTAGCCAGGGTACCACCCCCAATATACTCCATTAACACCTGTAATACAATTAGCAAATAAAAATCAATCCTCAGGAAAAAAATGTGGTAAGAGGAGAATTTTAACCTCAAACAGTGGTTATGTAATTCATGCTAATGTCAAACAGTAGAATTTGGGGACTGCATGTTTTATGATGACTGTGAATAGATATTTCTAAAGAGTGATGTCATGTTTAATATGACAACTAGTCAACACTAATTCAACACATCCATTGAGTCTAAAGTTTTTAAACCAAGATACTTTTTGTGTAGAAGCAGGCATACACGATGTATAATAAAACCTGCTTATACTCACCTCAATAATAATACAGTTGTTAGATTCAGTATACTTTATAGCTAAGTAATGTACAAGATAGGGATTATCCAATCGCAGCAATGACAATAATTCTTGTTCAATACTGACAACCTAAAAAACATAAACCTTTATTAGTTTTTAAACATTGCTATGAATATTTATGAATAATACCATACTTGATCAATTTACATGTAGCAACCAGTGCACTGATAATCATCTTTAAAAATCATGTTTTTTAGGAGGTAAGTGTAGTTGAGCACCCCACTCCAAAAATGATTAAAACAATTTTCGATTATCATGCCCCAGGTTAAGGGGTTATTACATCTCATGATTGAAAAATATAAAAATAATATTTGCATGTGAAAATGGTGAGAATCTCTGGGACAACAAGTCAAAGTCAAGATTGACATGAGGAATGTTTTGCTGCATGATTTGACCTGCAACGTTATTGAACCTGAATATTCAAATTTATGACATTTTATTTCAATGCAATGGCGTAGGTAGTGAATATTTCAGCGTGTCATGATATTGATTATTTTAACATGGTGATTAAACCAAGTTTTGAAGTATTTAACATCACACATCTGTCAACAGTTTATTGTTGAAGCATAGTTTTATCTGTGCACAGATTTATTATAATTAAGAAAAGTATAGTGATATCCAGTGACTCAGTTTCATGCCTTAACAGTCAGATTTGGAGCATTTTGGAAAAGGTGGACACTAAGACAAACTTAACCAAAAAATTGAAACCTTGCTAACTAACTTTCTGAATAATTCTCAAAACTGCTGTAACAACAGCAGCAAACACTGACTGGTTCTTGCCAACATGTCACAAAAGTACAAAACATAAACAAGTGGGTCTTTTTCTACATGTACATGTACTTCCAGGCTAATACTCTATTCTATGCAGATATTTTACCAGCTTCAGTTTTGTAACTTTTTTTTTTATCGATGACACATTAATGATGCAAGTATCGTAACATAGTTTGTGTCAGCATGGACATCTCTGAGGTTTACGTAACATAGTTTGTGTCATCATGGATATCTCTGAGATTTACGTAATATAGTTTGTGTCATCATGGATATCTCTGAGATTTACGTAATATAGTTTGTGTCAGCTTGGATATCTCTGAGATTTACGTAACATAGTTTGTGTCATCTTGGATATCTCTAAGGTTTACGTAACATAGTTTGTGTCATCTTGGATATCTCTGAGATTTACGTAATATAGTTTGTGTCAGCTTGGATATCTCTAAGGTTTACGTAACATAGTTTGTGTCATCTTGGATATCTCTGAGGTTTACGTAATATAGTTTGTGTCATCTTGGATATCTCTAAGGTTTACGTAATATAGTTTGTGTCATCTTGGATATCTCTGAGGTTTACGTAATATAGTTTGTGTCAGCTTGGATATCTCTGAGGTTTACGTAATATAGTTTGTGTCAGCTTGGATATCTCTAAGGTTTACGTAACATAGTTTGTGTCATCTTGGATATCTCTGAGGTTTACGTAATATAGTTTGTGTCATCTTGGATATCTCTGAGATTTACGTAATATAGTTTGTGTCAGCTTGGATATCTCTAAGGTTTACGTAACATAGTTTGTGTCATCTTGGATATCTCTGAGGTTTACGTAATATAGTTTGTGTCATCTTGGATATCTCTGAGGTTTACGTAACATAGTTTGTGTCAGCTTGGATATCTCTAAGGTTTACGTAACATAGTTTGTGTCAGCTTGGATATCTCTAAGGTTTATGTAATATAGTTTGTGTCATCTTGGATATCTCTGAGGTTCACGTAAT